CCTATTTTTGTAAATATGCAAAAGAAACAAAGATCAGAGAACAAATATGCAAAAAGCAAAACACTGATACAAAAGCAGCAAAACAAAAACGAAACAACTCAAAAACACAAATAGAACAAAACTAGAAACATAACAACTGAAAACAAAACAAAACTAGAAACAAAACAGCAGCATCCAGCATGTCAAGTGCAGGAGACGCTCAAGCCTCAGTGCATGATAAAACAGAGCACAATCAACCGACATACCTTCCAAATACAGTGGATTACAGGGGTTTCACATACCACTACACGAGATGTCAGTCATCCCTCCGGCAGAGCAAGGCATCTGTACTAATAACTAGCTAAAAGATATAAAAATCAGTTTCTATTTCTAGTTATTCGATATGCACAAAATGTTTGAGCGGTATCGCTCTACTTACTCACTGGGCCACCGTGCCGCCCGATCAAGGTCAAGGAGGAGAATTGGGGAGGAAGGGGGATTTCTTCCAAATGAAGATAAGGTGGACTGAAAACTTCTTTATAGTAGCTTAGGGCTCATATGATTGGAAGATAATGATTAGCTAATACGAGACCGGCCGTGATAAATCATAAGCACGTGATCCTCTCGAAATTAGTTTATAAACAAACTTCACTTATTACTCGTGGGGTCCGTTCTTCGTACGTGGATTACTCAATTAGCTGGATTTGGATATTGACGATTTGACACGATCCAGGATCGTTTCGTTCTTCAAAGCTGATCCGAGAGTTGTTGTCATAGCAACAGTTCTGCTAGGTCAAACCTGATCGGGAGCAGGTTCAATTCATATAAACAGGATTAGATCGGCTCAGTTCAAGCAAATATAATACAGAAAGTATGTTCTGAATTGTGATATTTTCTTACAGTAGTAGTTATATACACTTGGGAAAATGGTACATATTTTTAACTATATATATATATATATATATATATATATATATATGTATATATATATATATATATATATATATATATATATATATATATATATATATATATATATATAAAGTTATAGTCATTAATAAAATAAATAAAGTTATACATATTAATAAAACTTATGCAATCTGCACCCTCAAAATGAAAGTACAAAGACTGTCACCTGGTGGTGCGAAGAGAAAACTTATTGATATGAACTTTTTAGATCGCTTTAGTACAAATTGTGTATAATAGAAATGCAGAATATGTGACTTTTTTTAAAGCAATAATACATTTATGCAGTCATAAACATGTTTTAATTGTTAATATGCCAGTGATTTGATGCTTCACAAAAGTTGCAGACGCCTTTACCAATATCAAAATGCTTTTGTAAACAACCAGTTATTCTTTACACCGATTAAAAAAACAACTACTATAATAAAGAAAATCTTTTCTAAATGTAGAACTAAATACATTGATTTGCATTGAAATACATGATGAATTGTAAAGCCTGCAGCTCACAACAAATGTGGAAGGTTATTGCATTGCATATTTAACAAGCTGTTTACAGCTAATTTGATGTAATTTTGCTCACATGGATAATTGAATATTAATCAGATGATGTCATTACGCTGCTGTGCCGTCAGCCAATCGTTGCATTGCTGATCATGATTTTGAGGATCGATAGATCTGTCCTTCATAACACACGCAGCGATCTCAGATCAGTTTATCCAGACATTCAATTCAATTCAATTCAATTCAGCTTTATTTGTATAGCGCTTTTACAATGTAGATTGTGTCAAAGCAGCTTCACATAAATGGTCATAGTAACTGGAACAGTGTGGTTCAGGTTTTAGTGTTTAAGTTCAGTTCAGTTCAGTTTAGCTCAGTTCAGTGTGATTTAATCACTACTGAGAGTTCAAACACTGAAGAGTCAATTCATCGATGCGTAGCTCTACCAATCCTGAACCATGCGAGGCAGTGGCGACAGCGGAGAGGGAAAAAAAACTTCACCTGATGGGAGTGAAGAAAAAAAACCTTGAGAGAACCAGACTCAGTTGGGCACGACCATTTTAATTTCTCCGCTGGCCAAAAGTCTTGTGCAGAACTTCATTCGCCGTGGTTTATGCTGGAAGATGGCCTCAATGAAGACTCGTCTGTCCCTGGAGCGTCGCTGGAATCAGACTCATGTTCTCCACTCCCCATGACCATCAGCGCAGCAGCAGCTCAGGATATGGCCTGGTCCCGAATATGGAATCCTTGGGATCATCACGTCGCTGGTCTTGGATCCAATCAGTGACTCCGCCTAATCTGAGGACCTCGGGATGAGTATCCCCAGGTGAAAATAGAGAATAAAGAGAATAATTAGCGTAGCTGCTGTTCATAGTGTATATAAGCAAGATGTAGAAGCCAGTGTGGAACCCGCTAGGTGATGCACTGAGTGTATGCTTTACTAAACAGATAGGTCTTTAATCTAGTTTTGAACTGGGAGAGTGTGTCTGAGCCTCGGACATTACCAGGAAGGCTATTCCAGAGTGTAGGAGCCATGAAAGAGAAGGCTCGACCTCCTTTACTTGATTTTGCTATTCTAGGTACTACCAGAAGCCCTGAATTTTGAGATCTTAAGGAGCGAGTTGGTTCGTAGCGAGACAGAAGGTTGGTTAGATAAACAGGAGCTAGATTATTTAGAGCTTTATAGGTGAGAAGTAATATTTTAAATTCAATACGAAATTTAACAGGCAGCCAGTGTAAGGAGGATAAAATTGGGGTTATATGATCATATTTTCTGGACCTGGTCAGAACTCTGGCTGCTGCATTTTGTACTAATTGAAGTTTGTTAATAGAGGATGCTGGGCAGCCAGCAAATAGAGCATTACAGTAATCCAGTCTCGAAGTCACAAAAGCATGGACTAGCTTTTCTGCATCTGAGATGGATAGCATATTTCTTAATTTAGCGATATTTCTCAGATGAAAGAAGGCAGTTTTTGTGACATGGGATATATGGTTTTTAAAAGTTAGATTGCTGTCTAATATGACACCCAGATCTTTTATAGTAGAGCTAAAGCTAACTTTGTATCCCTCTAATTTTAAATTGAGTTGCGAGATCTGCTGTGTGCAAGATTTTCTAAAGATTTATTTCATTCTAATCTGATTCGCGAACTTGTTTGAAGAACCATATTAGCGAGAGATCAATTATCAAGATTAAAAGATCCAGGATCTGCCAAATCATCTAGATCATTTAAGCGAGGTACGAAGAACGGACCCCAGGTTATTTCTCCAATAGGAAACTGAAGTTCTAAAACAATAGCATATGAGATCAGGGGCCTGTTTCAGTAAGGAGGTTCAACCAACTCAGAGTTTAAACTTGAACTTGAACTGAGTTGATTTACCGAGAGATTAAAAACTCAAGTTTTCTGTTTCAAAATAGTTAATCTGAGTTGGGTCAATAAACTTTGCCTAGACCAACTCAGAGTTAAGCGTGCACACCATGAATATAAAAAAGGCATTATCAATGGAGCGCAGATATTACGAGTGACTATGGCAACATCTGAAAAAAGAGATCAGCATTTCTTTCTCCAGCTGAACTTGATGTGCTCATGCAAAATTATAGCAAATATGAGCATATATTTTAAAAAGCAACACCACTGCATCAGGAAACAAAAACAGTTAGCGTGGGAAAACATAGCTGCTGAAGTTAATGCGTAATTATACATTTTAAGTATTTAAATATTAAGTATAATAAAATAAGTAATGTAATGTGTGATCATTACATTTTTACCCATGTTCCCACTTTTATAAACGTTGATCAGTTTTAATAGATTTAAAAGTGCACTTGTCTGCCTCTTATTGATCAAGGGATAGAGGTTGATATGACATTTAGAATATAAGCAGAACTAAAAAAATGTTTTATAAAGAATAATAATCCCATTAATCCAGTAACAGTACATGTCAAAGGACAGTGAATTTAAGCAAAACATTTATTTTAAAAGGACAAGCCATTCTCGTACGTGACTTACATTTGTTCTTTGTGTGACTGAAATGTAGGCAATAGCAATGTTTCCATCCAAAAATATTAATTACATTTATGTGCAAAACTGGAATATCACATAAAATATATGCAAATAGATCAGCGTTTCCATGCTACGAATCAAAGAGAACAAAATCATCACTTCCTAATTAACTGGCAAAAGCATTTGCATAAGTTCATTTGTTCATTTTCTTTCGGCTCAGTCCCTTTAATTATCAGGGGTCGCCACAGCGGAATAAACCACCAACTTATCCAGCATATGCTTTAAACAGCGCATGCCCTTCCAGCTTCAACCCAGTATTGGGAACATTTGCGTAAGTTATGTACAATAATGCAAACTCAAAAATATTAGCGTCAATTATGCGCACTTGCTATGAACATGCAGGATTTGTCTCAATCGTGTCTTCCAAGCAAGTTAAAAATGTTTAAATGGAGTGGAAGTTGAATGAACACGGTTAATTTAGAGCGAGTTCATTTGATTGTTTGCATTTAAAGCCACAGGCACAAAAAGAGCTTGGTTTTCTTCTGACCCCCAAAATGAGATATTCTGCAAGGTACATGATCTGATTTTGAGCCAAAACCTTTAATATCTTGTAAAAAGGTTCATAATAAGAACCCTTTAAACAGGATTGTTGATGCAGGAATGAAAATAGCCTCACCATTTACTCTCCCTCGTGTGGGTTTTAAACCTTTATGAGTTTCTTGATCCTGTTGAACTCAAAAGAAGATGAAAACGCAGAGATTGGCTTACTTTGTGTTCCAGAAAAAAGGAAAAGTTCAAAACTGCATAACACAGAGTAAATGGTAAGGTCATTTTCATTTGTGGGTGAAACATCCATTTCATGCTTGTTCCTTTGGGCCTTCATACTAAAAGTTCACTTTTTTTTTTAGACCTGGTGGTGCTGAAAGAAGAGACTCATCAAATGGAGGAGAAACAGCAGTTAGAGAAACCCCAAGAGATAATGAATAATGAAAAACCCACACTGACTAAAAAGACTTCACGTGGAAGACCTCAGAAACCCAAATCTGGATGTCTTTTAAGCTGTAAACAGTGTGGAAAGAGATACAGTCAAAAGTCACACCTGAGAGTTCACATGAGAGTTCACACTAAAGAGAAACCTTACACCTGTGAACAGTGTGGAAAGAGTTTTGGTTATATGCAAGGCTTTAGAACCCACATGAGAATTCACACTGGAGAGAGGCCGTACACATGCCAACAGTGTGGAAAAAGCTTCTATTATGCAGGAAGCATTGCGGTGCACATGAGAACTCACACTGGGGAGAAGCCTTTCAGCTGTGCACAGTGTAGAAAAAGTTTCAGTCAAAAGCAGAACCTTGACATTCACATGAAAGTTCACACTATGGAGAAACCTTACACCTGCGAACAGTGTGGAAAGAGTTTTGGTTATGTACAAGGCTTTAAAACCCACATGAGAATTCACACTGGAGAGAGGCCGTACACATGCCAACACTGTGGACAAACCTTCTATCATGCAGGAAACTTTGCAGTGCACAGGAGAATTCATACTGGAGAGAGGCCATACACATGCCAACAGTGTGGACAAACCTTTCATCATGGAGGAAACTTTGCAGCACACATGAGAATTCACACTGGGGAAAAGCCTTACTCTTGCCCTCAGTGTGGAAAGAGTTTTAAGCGAAATGGCTCCCTTGAAGACCACATGAGAACACACACTGGAGAGAGAATTTTTACTTGCACACAGTGTGGGAAAAGTTTCTCTCAAAAACAAAGCCTTCACATCCACATGAGGATTCACACTGGAGAGAAACCTTACACATGCACAGAGTGTGGTAAAAGTTTCATATGTAAAAACGCACTCGATTACCACATGAAAACTCACACCGGAGAGAAGCCGTTTGCATGTAATCAGTGTGGAAAGAGCTTCATAACCAAAGCTAGCCTTAAGAATCACATGAATGGTCACACTGGAACCATAGTGTTCACATGTGATCAGTGTGGAAAGACTCTCACACGCAAAGACTCCATTAAGCAACACATGAAGACTCACTCAAGAGAGGATTGTTTTAGATGCAGTGAGTGTGGAAAAGACTTTAAACATAAAAGAAGCCTCAACACTCACATGAAGCTTCACAATGGAGAGCAGAGTCCTCAAAATTGAGGCCTTGTCCACACAAACACTGGTATATTCAAAACGGCAGCTTTTTCATGTAGTTTGGCTGTTCGTTGACGTGAAGTTTATTCATAAATTACTTTCGAAAGGATCACATGTTTATGATTGTCCACAACTGGTCCTGCATTAGCTAAGACGATTCACCAATCAGATGATTCCTAACTCACTATAAATAACCAGAGTTTCTTACCTCTGTTATCTTTGTCTTGAGAAATTCCCCTCCCACCCCTACTCCCCCTCCTTCTAGATTGTAATGTAATGTAATGTAATGGGTATTTATTGTATATAGCACATTTATTGTGTATGGCCATACACCCAAAGCGCTTCACAATCATGAGGGGGGTCTCTCCACACCACCACCAGTGTGCAGCATCCACTTGGATGATGCGACGGCAGCCACAGGACAACGGCGCCAGTGCGCTCACCACACACCAGCTATTGGTGGAGTAGAGAAACAGTGATAGAGCCAATTCGGTGGAAGGGGATGATTGGGAGGCCATGATCGTATGGGCCGATAGAGGGACTTTGACCTGGACACCGGGGTTACACCCCTGCTCTTTCACGAGAAGTGCCATGGGATGTTTAACGTCTCATGCTAAACTTCGTTAGCAATGTTGCCTCAAAGCAAGAATGTTACAGGTTAAAGTTTGCTGAACCGGTTAACATTTTGTGTGGAGTTTGCTCGTTCACTCTGTGCTCGCGTAGGTTTTCCCCAGGTTCCTCCCACAGTCCGATCTAATTAAACTGAACATTCTACATTGGCACCATAGTCGAGCTCTTAGTAAGCCATATAGCTCTCTTTAGCCATCTCTATATCTGTCAGTTGAACAGAAATGAGTCAGGGGAGTTTATCAAGAATTACCTGAGCTCAAACTCCCCTCACGCCCTGTTTACAGAAGGGAGCCCAGGGCTCGAGGATCTTATGAGCTTAGGGCTCTCCCCCGGGACAGCTTTCCCTCCTTTAAATCTCTTAAATTATTATATGCAATCTCCTCAGTTATTGGACTTTTTAACTGACAAGGGGAAAAACTTCAAAAACATATACACTATGACTTAAACTACTACTGTTGACTGTTGTGTTTAAGGATAGTGTAATGCAATATTAAAATTCAGGATTTAATAATGAATATAGAGAATTCCAGATGTTTCAGAGAGCAGGTCGACACACACACATAGATTGCTATGATAAAGCAGGCTAAACAACCATACATGTATCAATTAAATAAATTCAGATTTTTTTTTTTTGATAGGCTAAAAATGTTCATGTGTTAGCTATCTACCACTAACAAGTAGTCTTATATGCAAAGATGTGTTATTCAAAAATTTGTTTTTAGTTATTAAAAAATACTAATTGTCCATATTGGCTCTGTTCAATTTCCCTTGTCTGTCCGACACAGTGCTCAAGCTAAAGTGCATAACCTCTAATATAGTTCTTTGTGTGTGATGACACACAATTACAGTGATGTTACTTTGTGTTTCCTGAAAGAATGAATAATTTGTTCCAGACCATCCCATCCTCGTGTGCAAAAGAAGGCCAGCAGGCTTAGATGAGATAAGAATAAAAATGCATCAAGATGCACTTCATACAAAAATAAATAATTTTTTTATGACTATTATTTAAATGTTTAAACATCTTTCCCATCTACAGTAATTAGTACATTTTTGCATGATTTTAAACACTTCTGTGGTGTTCTGTCATTACTTTCAGACCTAACCTAAATGCAAATGAAACAGAGGAAGCGAGTTTATGAAGAAATAGTCTTGTTATTCAAAAGTAAAATAATTTTGTTTAAACTGTTAAGTTTTAAGTAATAGAATTTTCATTTGTTTCACCTTAAAAGAGTATAAAGGGGAGGTATGTTTAAAATATATACTAAAGGCTTTTACAGGTAAACTGATATGTTGTCTGTATGTTGTGTTATACCCAGCCTGATCTCACGAGAAAATGTAAGTATTTTACATTTTGCCAGTTTAGTGGCTAATTCAAATTCAGTCATACGAAATTGTACGATTTTAAAAAGGAGGCGTGGCACATGCTAAATGAACCTTTAATAATTTTAACAAGGTCCACTGGCTGTCAGGTTTTGTGCACCACTACAGAGCTTTAAGTGAAATTGATTTTAAAAGTTCTGAATTTTCTTTTAAAATTAAAGAAGACTTTGATGTGCAAATTATTTATTGGACCATGAAAAATGCAAATGAAAAATGCAAAAAATGTATATGGGCTGAATATAAACAATCAAATTAAATTTAGTAATGTTCATCCTAATGTTTGTTTAAATTCAGCCCAAACAATTTGTTTGCAACCACTTTTTGTAAATCCAATTAATATACTCAATCCATCTTGAATTCTCCACAAAAAACATTTGACACAATATATGGAGGTTGTGTTGTTTAATGCATAAGTACTTGACTAAACATTACAATGTGGTGCAACAAACACATTAAAACCATTTCAATAAAACAATGTTGCAAAATTGTTCAAATGTTTCACTTATGGCCTGTGTGAAAGGTTGACAATAATGCAACACCCAACTGTATAGAAACACAAACTCAAAAGGACAATTCACCAAAAAAAAAAATGAAAATTGACAATTTCCTCACTCTTTACTTGTTTATTTCTTCTGTTGAACACTAAAGAAGATTGTTTTAAAAATCTGAAAACCTGTAACCACTGACTTTCATTGTATTTTTTTTTCATGGGAGTCGATGGTTATAGGTTTCTAGCTTTCTTCAAACTATCTTCTTTTGTGTTCAACAGAAGAAAAAATCCACAGAGGGTTGTAAACACTTGAGGAGTGAGTAAATAGCGAGTAAATTTTCTTTTTTTAGTGAACTATCCCTATAGAAACACATTTTAATCGTTCAGACATTTATTTCAGGGTAGATGCTACTTGTACAATTAAATGTAAACAGTTGTTGGTAAAAATCAAGAAAACTTTCACTATTTAAGGGTAACATTCAGTGAACAATTAAAGTGATTGTTTTACTTTATGTACTTGTCAAATAATTGTACTGCGTGTACATGATTGAAAAATTAACCATTAAAACATTTGAACAGTTCTAAGCCTATATGACAATTGAAACAGCTGCAAACATTTGGTTGCACCAAAAAAAGTATCAAATCTTAATCTTCAAAAAAACTCAATCATCAAAAATAACCAGCAATATTTAAGTGCAAAATTAAAGGGAATGTACTTTCTGTATACAGAGTGATTCAACTGTATGAAGTGTAAGAAGAATGACTGAAAACAATAGCTTGCATATGAGCTGCCCACAACTCAGTTCTGAATAAACCCACTAAACCAGGGGTGTCAAATCCAAACTTAGTAAGGGCCACACTGAGTGTTGTGAATAAAGTCAGGGGCCATACATACATATTTTTTTTAAATGTATTTATTGAAGAAAATAATTTTATACTATCATTTTACACTTCATTAAACCACATTTATCAAAATAGTAAGGTTTTTATGGGCATATACACAATGATGAAACTCTGATGTTTTGATATAATTGTTAAACTTTTACACACATGCAGGTAGAATTATGAGTGTTTTAAAACGTTTTTGTCAATTTTTGCCATATTCTGCCATTGAATGGATGTGGTTTTGCCATGTCCCACACACCGCTCAGCCAAATTCAGTGAGTCTACAAAGTAGATAAATTAGATCAAATTAAAAAGATTTATAAATATTCTTATTGTCTTTAACAAGTTATTTCACAAAAAAGGTAATTTTAATCACTTTTTTTTAGCTTTCATAATATTATTAATCGTTTTGCATGTGTCCTTGAGTTTGCTGTCCACCTTGTCATGATGTGGTAAATGCCCCTTTAAGACCCCTCTGATGTACTCTGTCACCTACTCGGTCCCAGTCATTCCCCTCGCTGGCCAGCAGAGGTCATCATGACCAGACTATTGACATTACGTCATCCCCACTGACTGATTGTCACACACACCTGCAGCACATCTCCTAATCACCTGGCTCGCACATAAGCAGCACACACACACACATACACCCACACCCCCCCACACCTTCAGCGTGAAGTCTTGTTCTGCCCCTGCTAACACTACTGAGCGTTTCTCTTCCTTGCCTGCTTTCCCGTTGATTACCTTGGACTGTATCTCGACCTTGTTTTGCCTGCCGCCTGCCCTGAACCCTAGCCTGATTACCGACTTTGATCCTCGCCGCCTTCCTCTGACCCATGCCCTCACCTTGTGTTTGCCTGCCGCCAGCCCTTCATCTTGATACTACTGTGTTTGATGTGAGTTCGCACAAGCATAACATCGGTGTGCTACTTGTTATTAAACTTTATTTAATAAGTATACTGCAAATGGATCCCTCTGTGTCAGACCCTTCCTTACATACTCCTTGGTATCCCTGTGCCCATTTTGCTTTTCTTCAGAGGAGGTTTAAACATCTGATGTGCACACAGTAAATATCTACACTTATGTTTGCTATGTTTCCTCATATTGTGTTTGAAAATTAATGTTGACAAGCTTAACATGTCCACCATGTCAGAGTGAAACATTCATTACATTTTTTTTTAATTCAGAGATTAAAATATAGCTTTTAAACTATGTACAAAGAGCTTAAATATGGAAACACTTTACCAGCTGCAGGTACAGCATGTGTTCAATAAATGATATCTTTAGCCAAAAATGTCCTCTCTGTCATTGTCACAAATCCTTCCTTGACAGGGCGGACATATGCATTGGTATTGACACTTTTTTTTTACTATTTTATTGTTAATTACGGAATGTTTTTATGTTACTTACAACACCCACACACACTACACCAGTAGATGCATGAGTGGACAAGACAAACCTTTTGGCAATATCTGTCACAGCATTT